TTTCAGGTGTATATTGCACATATACATTTAATTTCCTCTGGGAAAAATCCAGCAACTTTGATTGTCCAACTTAAAAATGACACAAAATAATGAATGTAGACTTACTTTAACAAGTTCTTTCATTTGTCTTGGCAACACAATAAAATTAAAATACTGCTCAGATTATTCCAGTGTTCAGTTGCCTATTTCTCGTGGTGTTCCCTTTAACCAAATATTTAACCTTTTCCCAGATCGGTGTTGTGTGTTGTTACACAGCAGGCTGACAGATGACGCTGGAATTCTCCACAGAAAGCCAGAATAATAAACTTCTTGCAGGTGGATTACCAGCTGCTTCAGGCCGATTTTAAAAACTTAAGGTCCTTCAGCAGCTGTTGAGGAAAATCCTCATCCTGACCTCTATCATGTGCAGGATGAGCAGTGACACACTGATTTATTTCTATTAAACTGACCCCAGGACTCAGATTCTAATCATATCTGCTGGGCTTTTAGCAAAAAGATTTACTAATTTAATACAAGATTACACTGTAAATGCTTCAGTGCAAGTTCATTAGCCCCATTTACACAGAAGCCACATTTGTCTCATTATCTTTTAGACAATTTAAATTTTGTTGGTGGAATTATTGCCTCGTCATCACTTCTCAAAACCGCTGGATGCTGACGAAGCACGACTTGCAGAAGGAATTGCTGTTCCCTTAATAAAGATGAATTTTGTACTGTTAGAAAACAGCTGAATGTTAATGATCTTCTCCATGGTTCTGTCCTCCGTTTGTTCTCAGCTTGGAGAGATTCAGGCCGAGTTCAGCCAAGTTTGACTCATCAAACATTAAGCTGCAGGGTCCCTGCGACCAGCCAGCTGTTCTGCCACTGCATTTACTGTTTTTTTTGTTTTTTTTCCCTGGAAGGCTACCTGGCTGTGCTTCATGCTCCTCTGCCTCTGAATGAATGTATTTTTCTAACATCTCCCCTGGTGGGAGCTCAGTCATAACATGCCTGCTGCACTTTGGAGCATCTCGTGACCTTTTAGTCTGGACAGATCTTCTCCTGCAGAGAAAGTCAGGCTCTAACCACAGATGAAAGGCTGCTGAAAGGCCTAAACTGCGGCTGCCTGTCTGTCAGAGGTGAAAAAAGGACGGAAAAGGATCTCCGTGTGGCTTTGCAAATGTTCAGAGGAAAACTGGTCTGGAAAAAGACAACAGGCTCTTCTAGGAAAACTTTCTCTGCAACATTTAAAATAATGTACCTTGCATTTCTGTGTTGATTTAGCTGAACCAGGATTAGAAACAACATTGTGTTTACTTAGTAGCATCAATGGTAAATACTTGGTTAATGGTTAATGTCAGTGTCTTCCAAAGGGACACATTTGGTTAAAATAAACCAGTGTTGACTGACATGGGAAACCAATTGAACATTTTGCGATGGTATAACACTGTTATCCTACTTCCACCTTTACTTCTTGGAGACACAGCCCCGTCTCCTAAATAGGGCTGAACAATTAATTGTTTTCAAATCGAAATTGCGATTTCAAAGAACAAGATTAACTAATCGTGAAGACGGCGATTAAAATGTAGGTTAACTATACAGCGCATGTGACCCGTTTTAAAAAGTCGTGCAGTTACAGATTCATTCTGTTGTCGTCCTTGTGTGACAGATCTGCTGGCCAATCACATTCGGCTCCTGTTACGGTCCTACTTACCAATCAGACTGGGCACAGGGCGTGTACATTTTACAACAACAAACGACACTAAACAAAAACATGGTAGCGGTTGTGCCGCGGTTTTGTCCGGCGTCGACTCACACTGTGTTTAAGCAGTGGAGCGTTTAGCTGTCCTACAATGTTGACGTGTTGTTAATTTGTCCTGTCTTGAGCTTCAAGTACAGATAACAGCTCTCTGTGAGCCCGTTTCGTTACGCTCTCTGCAGGCTACATTTCCCACATAAAGCACTTAAGAATAAGAGCGTTTTGCCTGCTTGATTTTGCTGACTTGTGCAGAATTTGTTGATTTGTTCAGTTGTCCTTGATTTTTGGGCTTTACTATGGTAATATAGTAGCTACGTAGTTAAATTGTTTTGTGTTTATTATTGATTTATAATCGGGTGTCTGCACAGGGTGTTTTATTTTGAAAATTGACTGGATTGTCTATGCCGTTCTGTGTCTGACATCCTGCCCAGTTCATCTGGGGTGAGTTCAGCACCGACAAAACGTTTTTTCAATGGAAAGAGTGGTTCCCTGAACACCCTGTTGTGTACACAAGCGTGCTGCGTTTCCCTGCCTTTATAACACCGTTGTGTTGATAAACTTATCGCGGCTGATTGGGTAACACCTGTGACACGCCCACCAAACAACAGAAGAAAACATTCCTCGAAGCCAAGTGCGAAACGTTGCAAGGAAACGTGATGAAGTCAGACTGAAGTCACCCCTGCTCTGTGCTGCCACGGCTTCCGTCAAAAATAGACTGGCATTGAATATTGAACTTTTAAAAAATACTAATCGTAAATTGAATTAACATAATGAGAATTTTGAGACATTTTCAGTTCAGTGAATCAGCTGTTCAGTTCTCGGACTGAGGGGAAAAAATGCTGCCAGTGAAAATAATTATCGTTCCACCAAAATGTATTAGGCGAAACCATTTAGTAGTTGATAGATGTAATTTCTAGAGGACCTTGTTAAGAGAGGAAAGGAAGTGGTTGCTTGTCAGGGAAAGAAATGGATTTTAAATATTTGAATACACGACCAATGCTCTTGTTTTTCTGATGAGGATATTCCCAAAGGGTCATATTTTGTCAAAAATGTTTTGAAAGCAAGATTATGCAGGTCATGGCGTGCCGTCCTGCAAACATTAAAATGTTTTTAGCAGATGCACAGCGAAGTCGGGGTTTCCAGGGAAAATGAAACTGTGGCGTCTGCAGTTTGGCCTCTTGCTCTGACTTTTGCGGCTCCTAACAGGGTTTGATGCACCTGCTTCAAAGGGAGAGAGCCGAGAGAGAATGATTAGCTTGGAGCGTCGCGCTGCCTCAGCACTGTGTGGAGCTCCATATCTAGTTTAACAGGGGAGTGTAAATGTGCAAAGGTGAGACTGGAGATGATACTGTCGCTGTGTAACTGTCTAAGCAGGAAGTGGAACTCACATGAGTCAGCTTTATAGGCAGCACTTAGGGATATTGTAGGGCTGGAACGACAACGGAGTTTGGAGGCTGGACTGGGTTTAGGGCAGCTTTTATGGAGCACCTCAACATCAGTTGGAGAAATAGGCTGTGGCAGTGTAAGTGGGAAAAGAATAGAAAAAAGGAACGCCACTGGAGAAAAATGTGGGGCCAAGAAGGCCAGCAAAATGACATTCATTTTGGCTGCAACCTATCATTTGCTTCCATCTTCCCCATGTCTTAGTGAGTAGATAAATGAGGAGCACGCTGTTCCTTCAGGTAAAGCTAAAAGAATCTTCTCGTTCTGTCATGGCGTAAAAAAAAAGCCTTTTTCAACAGCAATATGCCTGGAGACAAAGCAAAGTGCTTGAGTGAAAACACTCAAGAGGTATACATGACAGACACATGATTGGATTTTGTGCCTGAAGGTGAAGAGTCCAAATCCCAAACATTTTTGAGCAGGCATTATTTAGGGCAGCTTAAGGCAGGGAGGAACTGGAAGATGGCAGTATATTAAGGGAACCAGCTTATATAGTCCCTCAGGAAAGGCTCTTGTGCTGTGTTGAGAATGGCAGCTTACAGTGCCACAGGAGGATGAGCCGGGGAAGAGGCCTGAGACTGGAAAAAACCTTAGACATACTGAGTTAGCAGCAAAGGTCAAGGAACAGGTTTGGAAAGCAAAGGTCTCTCCCACCGAGGGGAAGTTGCAAGGAAATTATGGAAGTCACTGTTTAAACAGACCGTAAAAACGAGGCTGGTGCTGGAGCTGGTGGCAGTGAATGGTTGCTGCTCAGAATAAAGGTTTACTTGGGCAAAGGGTGATAAATCTGGAGGTATTACGATGTTAGAAGTGGCTTGTTTGCTGGTTAACAAGGGTAACATCAGGACTCTCGCTGCAATCGATGATTGAAATAATCTCGGCTAGTATGATTCACATGTGTAATATCTGTGTGTTTTGATAACTAGTAAGTAGCATTGGTCTTGGTAAGAAATGTGAGAAATGTTGATTCACTAATGGTCACGTGGGGCCTGTTTCTTTGGAACATGTTTGTAGTTTCTCCATTTGTTTGATGGTAGAGGTTGCTTATTTTGGCTACTGTCAGCATGGATGTATTGAGTCTGGAAGTGTGTAGGGGCTGGGTACGGAAAGAGAGTGGTTGTTTTGGGAAGGTTCTGAAAGACACTGTGGAGCCTTCATGTCAAATGAGCAACTTAACAAAACGCTTCTGAGAAGGTGCTTCCCTGATAAACCAAGAGAGACTTGCACTCAAACGCAGGACTGCTTATTGGTTCAAGTTTACTCTTGAAAAAGAGATGATTATTGGGCTTATTCAGTTTGCGCAGGGACATGACTGTGCTTACTGAATGCAATCTCTGCATTCGAAATCGTTGATTCCACGGGTTTTGTTGTAGTTTGCAGTTTTCCTACACAAGCAGTGATCATGACTGGACAGCTCAGCATGCTGTGGCATTCAGATGAATCTGCCAGTCAGCCTGATCAGGCCAGAGAACTGTTCCTGTAGCCTTAACAGAGCGGATGTCTGGCCTGTTTAATCATCAGAGTATCTGCTCTCTTTTGGATTCAAAGACAGAGCGCAGGTTTAGAAGTTCAGAAGTAGGGTAGGGCAGTGAAAAAACAATGGGGTTACCTGTCAGACTGTTGAATAGATTTATGACAATGCAGCCCAACATCTAGGTCAGGACATCATTTATCATTGTGCATCTTTAACATTATTTTATGAACTGTGCTTCTCTTATGTGTTTGTTCCAATTCCTGTAATCTATCACGGATCTAACTTTGAATAACTCGCCTCTTTTTCTCCACTCCGTTTCCCTTTGTTCTTTCCCTCTCCCTCCAGCCTGCGAGCTGATGAACCAGGGCATATTGGCGTTGGTTACCTCGACGGGCTGCGCGTCAGCCAGCGCACTGCAGTCCCTGACGGATGCCATGCACATCCCCCACCTGTACATCCAGAGGAACAGCGAGGGATCACCGCGTACTGCCTGCCAGTTCAACCCGAGCCCCGGCGGGCAGCGCTACACGCTAGCTGCCCGGCCGCCCGTACGCCTCAATGACGTCATGCTGACTCTAGTGGAAGAGCTGCGCTGGCAGAAGTTTATCGTGTTCTACGACATCGAGTATGGTAAGTGATAACTAAACTGCACAGATTTGCAGTTGCTCTGCTGGATTGAGGGAACTGGTTTTCTCAGCTTTGTAAATTGGAAGTTGAGATTTTTGGGAATTGTGGAAATTTTGGGAAGAAGTTGCTGATACAAATTAAACGGGCAGTGGTGGCCTAAAAGTTAGAGAAGCTAGTTTGTGACTGGGAGGTTGTCGGTTTGATTAGATCAGGCAGATTAAAGCTCTACTGGAGAGACTGGAGTAAAGGGCCTTAAGGACATTAACGGCTGTGTGATGTGTTATTTTGAGGGGACAACAAATTTACACTGTTATACAAGCTGCACACACAAGTGTCATTTCTTCAGTGTCACATGAAATTATATAATCAGATATTTACAAAATCGTGAGGGGTGTACTCACTTTTGTTAGATACTGTGCCATGACTGTGGTTTTGTCTGTGACCATGAAACCATTTTGAAATGTGGAGGAAAGTGAAAAGCTTCTCCATTTCCCTTCACATCCTCCATTTAGATCTTTTAGGATGGGATGAAAATAGATACTGATGGTGACTTGAATTGGCTAGTTGATTGGTTGCCTGTTCAGAGACATCAGTGTTTTTAGATATCATGTTTTAGTTCCTGCTGGAAGTTCAGTCTCTCAGCTGATATTCATGTGCTTTGGAAGCTGAATTCTACGTTACTGTTTTAATCAACTTTGTCTTGTTGTGACAATGCATGAATATGATACATAAATAGTATTTATTCCAGATTATTACAGAAACATATTTATCTATCTATATATATGATAGCAATGAAAAGGTTGATGTGGTGATATTTATATTACCGTTAATAAAGATGATTGCATGTTTTTATGGCTTTAAGTTTGTTTAATGCACATTCTTTTTCTTTATGTGCATCTAAAGCATGAATGAAAAATGAAATTTACACTTCTTAAGCACTTTGGATTATGGTCTGGAATACTTTGTAAGCCCATTTTTTCCAACTGTTACATGTGATATGGTTCTCATTTTCCCTGGTGTAAGGATGATGAAACACATTAGATGTGTTCTTTCTGGTATTCAAACTCAAGTATCACAGCAGGGTGCCAAGGCCTCTTGATGACTCACCTGTTCTTTTAGACAGAACTGAAGCAATGATACACACACACTCACACAGGATTGCTTTGTAGGTGGTTTAACATGCTGGAATTTCTACCTCTGCCAGCTGGTCTATAGTTAGTATTTGTTAATTTCAGCCCCTTGTTGTGCATAAACCAGTCAGAATGCAGCTTTTCTCTGTCTGTGTGGACAGAAAGCTTCTGTGAATATAACCAATCAAAGTACTTAATTTAAACCTATTTACATGAAGCATTAACCACCATCATTCAATATTTGGCTGTTGGTGACACTAATCAAACAGCCAGGAGACGCATAGAGACATTTCTATTGTTGCAGTTCAATTTGTTAACCAAACCCGCGGGGAAAACGGCACTGCTAACAGTTTGAAGCTTAAAAAAGTCACCTGCTAATGCCAACCTTGGCCAGTTTAGATAGTAAGCAGTGTGGTCCTTGTCTTCCTCTCACCTGTGAGCTCCAGTTTAAGCAGAAGTTTCTTTATCTCTGTGAGCTGTCAGTCAAACACAAACACGGATCCTCCCACTCAGAGGCTTGGAGGCAAAAAGATACTGTTTCGTTTGGTCCAATAAATTTGAAAATGAGATATGAGAGAAACCAAATTATATTCTCAAGATAGAGCATGATTTCTTTTAGATATCAGTGATTCTCTTTGCTTTCATTACGTGAGTTTGTTTGGTCTGACATTTGGAGTGTTTCATTCTCAGGTCAACTTTGTGACATGACAGACATAAGTGTCGGACATTTCACTTTTTTTTAAAGTTTTTTCTTCCTCAACTTCCGGGTCTATGGATAGAAGGTGTTTGACGTGACTTGTCCACAAGAAAAAAGAATCTGTTCAGTGGGAATGGATGATATTGTAAATCTATGGCCTATTTACAATTTTAAGATCACAGGACACCTCTGTTTGAAATTCCCATCTGCACAAACTGAAACATGGATGTAAACCTGAAGCAATGCATGTTTCTAGAACACTACTCATGTTACATATTGTTCGTTCTGTGTGTGTTCTTCCATGTTCCTGATGTTGGAAATTCATGTGGAATACATGTAGACAAACCACTGATAAAGCATTAGGAATAGCTGCAGGCCGCATAAATGATTTTCAATGTTTTCTGGCCCTGGATTACCATGACCAGATGTTGCAGCAAAACTTCAGAGATCGACTTTCCTTCTTCTGTATTTGTTTGGAATAGCTTACATGGAGTATATCTTAATGAAATCACATTAGGCTCAATGGATTTTTGAGCGCAGTCGATACTGGATAGTGGGAATTAAAATATAAGGGTATAGACAGATGCATGCATTTAGCCTCTCAGATACTCTTATCCATAGTGATTTAGAGTAAGTGCATTAGCAGCTGTGGGCCAGAATCTGAATCCTTTAATAACAAACCAGTGGCTCAGCTAACATTAGGACCAAAGGACAACAGTGAGGCTGCAGGGGAGAACTTTTCTTATTCAGGATCCAGACTGTTTTGGATCTTGTTGGATCTGACCTAAGGTGATTTCCAATGCTGGGCAAAAGCTGGGCTTGAAAAGGACAGATGCTAAAACATCTTCAAAATAAACAACAAACATTTGGTCAAAAATTAGAAATATTCAATACTTCCACCTTATCACTTATGAGGATTTGCTGCTTCACATCATACTTTTCTACATACATACGTGAGTTAAGTAATGGCTTTACAACATACAGTACTTAGTTTCAGCTACTAAGCAAACATCCTTATGGGCGACTCTCAAGAAATGTAGTAAATTGTCCCTTTACTTTCAAATATCTGTGTTTTCCCCTCGGAGGCAGAAGTTAGTTTCTCCATGACTGGGCCGTAAGAAAGGTCGTCCCACTGTAGGTGTCTCAGTACTTTTCCGGGGGGTTGCTACTCATTACTTATCCTGGAGTGACTATAAGGAGACTGTCTTTTTATTTGCACCTGGCAGTCTTAACTTCGGTAGGAATAGTCCAGGATGAACATTTGAGGACAGACAAGTATCTTAAGAGACATAGTTTATAGGACCTTTTCCCAGAATCCTTTCATTTTTTGGGCAACTCCAAAGTCAGTGGAGTAAAGTTGCCTTTTCTAGGCCACATTTCGTGCAAAGATCGGCAATAGTATTATCATTATTAAGTGATGTAAGAGGGAGGGAGTTATGTATTTATGCTTAAACCATTTAAATTGTGTTAGCATTGTGTCTGGTGTTGATGGTCTGGGTTTGTGCTTCTTGGCAAATCTTCCAATCCAAATCAGAGATTTCTACATCTAACACACTAGATTATGCCAGTCTTTTGTTCTCCAATTATTCTTTAGAATTTTCTACAATCAGTGTATACAGGGAAGGGAAATCTGTCCATGACCTTGCAGGTTATCAAGGACAGAGGAATTCTACAAGAGGGCTCTTTAAGTGCTGCTAAAATATAAATCTTTATAACTGTGACCAAGGTATTTACTGAAACGTTAAAGTTTAAAAGAAATTAGTCAGTTAGAAGGTAATACTGCCAATTTATCGGTCTAGCGCTACAGGTCGGTTCTTAATTAAAATAATGGTAGTCTACTTCTTTCCTCTGAGGTGCAAAAGAACAAATTACATAACTTAGTTACCATGTGCAGATTAATGCGCAACATAAAACTGCCATCACCTTCTGATGAGCAAAGGCTAAACAGCTATTAGTGATGAAACACATTATCTTTTCAGTCTGTAGCTGCCTCCACATTTTTATAGCTTCCATATCACAACAAAGCAAACATAATACCTGAACCTCTGTGTGAAGGCACCCTTGATGTTTTTATTATTGAGCCCTGTGTTCGCTCGCTTTGTAATGCTGCAGCGTCCTGGTCATTGTTGCTGTTTTCAGTTGTGTTGCTGCAGTTGGCTGATTGCTGCTGGTACAGGATTCATTTTAATAAGAAGAATAAAGAATCAATCAGTGTTTTTGGTCACTGAAACATTTTCTTCTATCATTGCCTGGACAGGATGTTTCCCCTTGTATCCACACAGGTATGAGGCATTAACGAATAAATTGAGTCATAAAAAGCAAAACACCAGTATTTGCTTTCCAGCTGCGTTGTAGGGGAATTTCCTCGTTTAAAAAGCGTGCAGAGCGAGACGATCGCCGTCTAAATGACCCTGTCTTTGGACAGATTTAACGGAAGCTGTGCTCTGATGTCAAGCTGCCCTCCAGCTCTGATATGAATGAGTGTGAGAGCTGAGAGTAAATCTCTGATCTGGCTCAGATCAGCAGGGACGCCAGCCGAAAACACCACCGTGTGGTGCAGACAGTTCGGTTGTGAGTGCAGGAGTTGAGCAAATGGACCAGAGCCTCACAGGATCACAGCGACTGATAACGTTATATCTGATAAAAAAGTAATAACACGGGCTGGGAAAGGAATAAATGCTGGGGGGACCATTGGATTGAAGGATCGAAGACAAGTACTCATCTAAGGGGAGTGGAAAGTAATATAAAATCTATGAGTCTAAAAATGTAGCTGTGTTGATTCTGTACCAAAACTGGTGCTTGGAAGAGTCAAGGAGAGACATTATAAAACCTGGAATAATTAAATGCTGTCAGTTCAAGTGCAGCAGGTTCTTACTCTTGTTAATAACTTGATAGGTAATTGTCTGGAAGAACTAAACCAACCGTAATTAACCCTGTTCATGCTTCTTCAGTGCATTGAGGAGCTTTTGAGATTGAACTTTTTGGCTTCTCTTCAAAGTCTTGACAACTTTTTGACAAGTTGGATGATGTTTTGACCTCTGAATCCTCCTTGGGGTAAACTCCAATACCGGAACGTTGTTGAGGATCGGTTCACCAAAATATCCAAAGCATTGTCTCTCTTCCCTCCAGTGGCTTCTAGCTGTACAGATAGTATGCTTTTATTTATACAGTCCAAA